TTTCGTTTTTGCAAACTTGGTTAAATAATAAATTTTTATCGCCGCTCAAAATACTCGTTATATTTTATTTAAAGCTAATTAAAAAGATAATTGAAAATTGTTTATGGAAAAGTATGTCACTGTAAAAAAGCGCCTTTAAAAATTCGATTCATCGATAATTTCTCAGTAGTTGGAATTAATTGCATCGATTATTTTATTTTTATTTTTTGCCATCCCTAGATATGAAACATAAATAGAATTTTGTACCGTCACTCGCATTACAGCAAATGTTTTCACTGTTTTTTGTCTCTTCTAAATTTCGGAAGCACTGCTTATATTGAAGTGTACCCTGTCGGAAATCGCGTAGTCGACTACTAAAGTAGCCAACTTTAGGCTCACTTATTGCGGCTAACTTTAAATTGGTTTTAAAGTCACGCAGGGTTCAATCGGAGAAATGTGTACATATGTGTAAAATTTGTTTCACAAAAGAAAAAAACAAAAAAAAACAATTATGTTTGAGAGTAACCATTAATTAAAGGGCTGCAAGATTACATTTTAATTATCTAATATCCACCATACCTTTTTGCTGAACCCTGAATTTTTAACAAGAATCCGTCTTTTTCGACCAGTGTGCTTTGTGTCACTTGGGGGTCGTTACGCTGGCTCTTGCAATTAAAATAAACGATTAATATTTTACACGCTTTTTGTTGACCTCATGATAGAATATATTTTCACTACCTATTACCAAAGGATTTGGGGAAAATTAAATTTTCGACCCGCCCTAATGTTAATAGCATATCTTTAGTGGTCTTTATTACATACATGCTAACTAGTTATCATGTAGTTAATAGTTAATCTAAAATAAGCATACAAACCAAGAGTACCAAAAACATTATATTATTTAGCATAAAACAAGTCAACTTATAAATAATCAGTTTGCTGTTTACTGAAAATAGCAAACCTGTTTTGCGACGTCGTCATGTAGAAGTAGTCAGTTGAAAGCTACGTAAAGTAGTCGAGTCTTAGTTAACTCTAGTTTAAAAATAGTGAATTTATAGCGCATTGGTTATTAGTTGAGTTCTCTACAGGGTAGCTATGTTAAGGGTAATGGGAATGGTGATTTGACATATTTTCCATAATATTGAACTAATATGGTTTAATATATTTTTAACACCTTAGTCCTATTACTAACTTAAAAATAACATTTTTGCTTTTACGCTTTCGTGAATCTCTGCCCCATATATTTGGACCATTTTTGTTACTAATGCTGGTTACAAGGAAGGGTAGTCCTGTGCTAGCATTTAATCTCACCCACTTTTTGCAGCGTGTCAGCTCCTACAATAAGGTAACCTCATTAGGAGTAAAAATAAAGTGCGACACAAGTTGTTTGAACCTTAAGCTTGAATGAATTGGACAGCCAAGGGGCAGATGCTGAATTGACTACAACTTATCGAATTTCCATGCAACTGTTACAGTATACACAAAAATCTCTTTCGATGCTTCATTTATGGCAGCTATCTTCGCTATGACAACACTACAGAGACTTGGAAGAATCCGCAACCTACGCTTTCATCCAACTTTGATCCATTCGTATATAATTTTACTTAGCCCTGATTCCAAAGATGGCACTCCTTTCCCTTGTAGGAATATGATTGGTGAAAGATGCAGTTGAGCCCGGTTTGGCAAGCAATGGTCGGTTAGGGCTGCAATGACCCCCAAAAGTGTTTTAAAATTCCGGAGTGCCTTTGGCGAGAAGTGGTTTTGTAACCAGTGCCTCGGCAAGGATAGCAAAAAATTTTGAGTTTTTCTTATTCCACTTACATTGTCCCTGAGGGGACCAAAATGAACCACAAATACGAATTGAGGCCATGACAGCCAGAGGAGCCTATCTATAAAACCATGTTTTTTTTGAGTAAAATAATAAAAATGGTCTTTTATTTTTAGATGTACCTAAATTTTTTTTTTTAATGTCAGTAAGGCTACTCTGGCTCTCAGAACCTTAATTCTTCCAATTGAACCTATTTAGAAATAGGATTACAAGTAATCTTGTGTCATCAATTGAATTCAATCCTGCAGAAAATGTAAGACAGCTTTGGATATTCTTCTACAAAAAGACTTTACCTTAATCCATTCCTTTTTTAAGATGTTTATATAACCTAAATAACAGGACATACAGTATTTTATGTATACAAGTATGTATGCACATAAAACGCAAAACACTCATACTTTCAGGTGCAAATATATAAACCAATCTATGGGACATATGTATATTCAGTGAACTCGTAGCGAATAACATACACCGGGGATTATTTGTTACCAGTAACTGTTGCCAAATCACTACAAAGCGTGAAAGCGCAGAAAATCGTTTGAAGCGCAGCAGTTGCCAGCTATCATGGCGCGACTTTATGAGCTAAATCTATGTAAATTGTCGTTAATCATCTATGCATACTTATACGCATACTTACATGCAAATTTATGTATGTGTAGTACATTTGCCATTTATGTATAGTGGCAAGGGTGTTATTTTTCCATTAAGCCCAATTTCCCCCATAATTATGCTTATCTGCCGCAAATCAAGTGTAAACTTCAATTTCCTCTGAAACATATATTTATGACATACTCAAGCCCGTAAAATTTTATGTTTGTATATTCATACATACTATAGTTGTACATACAAACATATGTACATATGTATGTGTTTGCTTATGAAATGTGTTTCATGTAATCATAAGTGCGTTGACACACGCTTAATTTCCCAGTTGGCAAACAAGTACGGAAATGTCCTTCTGCCCTATGGTCAGTTTAGCTGAGCTGAGTTGTAGCATAAAGCTTTAAATTGTTGCTATTTTTACCTACATGGCGTGCCGTGTGTATCTATTTTTTGACTAAATTTGCGATGACAAGTCTATCGGATTAGTGTCGACTTTAGTAAAATGTCATATTAAATGTCATTCATAAATATGTTTAAGAGGGCGTAAGTCTTTTGCGTGAAAGTTACATGTAAGTATGTATGTAGGCGCATAAAGAAACTGACACAATTAGTTGGGGTCTCGAGTGAATAAAATAAAACGAAGCGTGTACTATTAAAAAAATAAGCTCTAAATATAACATAAATTTGCCTTCAAACTAAGTTTGAAAAATAAAAAAAAAAACTTACCCTCGCCAAAAAATATTAAGTGAGTCATATTAGTCCTTAAGACTATGTAGTTGGAAAATAAATATAAAGGAGAGAGCAAAAAGTTTTGGCTTACGCTCTTGCAAGTACTCTTTCGGAAACAACTTGGTGCTTTTCGCACTAAATGTAGTGCTTTTCTTTTTCAAAACGCGAAAATTGTTGAATTTGCTACTTGTTGGGTTTTTTGGGTTTTTTTTTAGATTCAAGGCATCTAATCTGTAAATCGAAGCTGAATTTATAGCAATCGTAAATATTTTAGCAACTTTACAAAAATGGAAACAAAATCATGGCAAAATGACAATCGTCAGCGAGCATACATACTTATGTTTGAAAACAAATTTTTGACACAAAAAGACTTTTCCCGATATGCGCTCAAGTAAGGCCCATTATGGCCCTTTAGTTCACGAGATCATAAGCGACTGCAGTGTTGATCTAGACTACCACATAGTTCATGAAACTTAATTTTTTGTTTTTGATTTCGTTTGACAGGAATTGTAGAGAGAATTATGCAAAACGAAGAAACATTTAAAATATAAACAGTCAGGATTTATAAATTTTTCTTGAATCTAAGCGAAGTGGAACCGGTGGACACAGCTACAAATTAGAAAAGAAGAACAGAAGACGAAAATATTTTAATTTATAGAAAACAGAAAAACTCGACCGTCGACCAAGAAACATTGATTTTTATTAATTTAAATCAGCATCTCTACAAAAAAATGTGTATGCATATAAAATCTAATAAACACTCCGATAAAAATTTTGTGCTTTTTTCGAGAAAAAAAAAAACGATTTTTCTTGGGTTTTAGTGCTTTTTCAAATTCAAAACCTGGCAACACTGTTCGGAAAGGCGCGTGAATTGTACATTGAAAGTATGGAGCAGTGGTATGTTCGATCTTATAATACTGTTCATTGTCAGGTGAACGTTCTTGCCGAACTATTATGCCAACCTAAACAGTCATGTAAAACTACCGCATTTAACGGAACTGCAGAACAATGATTTTATTTCGGATTTGTAATAAAATCATTGTTCCTGCAGTTCAGACAAATGCGGTAGTTTTACATGACTTTCTGTAGACCTTAGAATAATATACCTCTGTAAAGTTCGAAGAACTGAGTTTATGAAAAAAAATATAGCGCTGGTAGAATAATTTCACGCGTACCTTCCAAGATAACAAAACACTCCAAATGGCACGACCTGAAATAGAATTCTACAAGGTATTTTGGGGTCTCTCCTCCATTAGTTGCATACGCATCTGTACACCTACAAAGTCGAAATTGAGTGTTGGAAGCAAATTTCTAGTTCCGTACTAGGTCTTTATCGCCAAAAATGAACTAGTCCGATAGGAACTAGATCCCCACTAGACCAAAATCGGCGAAAAGTGGTACTTTTAAAAAACTAATTTTTTTCAGTTTTTTTCACTAGAAATCTATATCTAAAGTGACGAATTTATAAATAGTTCGGAACTATAGAAAAAGGGATGCAGCGGGGGGCTTGTTTACTTTATGTAGATATGTGTTCGGCGGCTTTTTCGTTCAAATACGCACATTCGATTGAACAGGAGGCAAATTTACTTCAGATATCGGGTCATATGCGACGCATGGCCATGACCAATTAAAAGATGATATTTAATTCTCAAAAATGTAAAAATTGTTTATTCATCGAAAAAATCATTAGATGACAATATATGTAGGTATATATTAGTTAATTATTAATAGCCCAAAATTTCATATACATACACACTTAACATCTAGAGAAAAACTTATATCCTACTTTAGATACAACTAAGAGGAACATATAACTATAAACCTAAACCTTTATCACATTACAGTTCTAACTAAATATTATTCAGCAAATAGGCCCAAAATGTTCCTGCATAACTTCAAAGATATCATCTAACTCCTCGCTGCTTGAACTTTGTTCGGGCCACTGCAACAATGGAAATCCAATAATCGGCTGCGTTAATGGACTCAGCTTGATGTCACAAATATTAGTTTGCGCCGCGACTTGTTCCTCACCGTTGCTCTTCAAAAACTGCACTATTCTTTGTATTGTGCCTTCTTTCTCGGCACTGTTTGGTGTATTGTTCATATTTTCCTTCTCATAGCTGAAGAGCTCACCGCTTTTTCTGCCTTTACTCCTACGATTCTGGAACCAATACTTCACCTGGTTTTCTCGCACACCGATGCTTCTAGCGATTTTGGCTCGTCGTTCCGCCGTCAAATATTTTCCTTTTCGATATTCACGTTCCAATATCATTGTTTGTTGATGAGTATACGAGGCTCGTGATCGGAATATTGTCGCTTTGGTGGACGTTGTTGACGATGAAATTGAAGATAAAATTTTCCCATTGTTGTAGTGATATATAAATTCAACGCCTTGTGGTGCTCCTTCACATTTTTTCACTTCGATATTAGTGATTAGGTTGGACATTCTGGTGTATTTGTAGTATTTTCTTATACGTATTTCAAAATTTGTGCATTGCATACGTCTTGGCTGTTGCATTCGCATTGATTGGAAGAAAACTTGTTGCGCGTTTTTATAGAGGCTTTTTAGGTGCACTTGATCCATTGTTTTGTACCTGTACCTATAGTTTTTGCTAACAACCTTAGTCTAACCTGTGCGAAAGCATCGTTACCTGTTAAAATTGCGTGATCCATTTTTTACCTTTACCTTTTCATCGTTATATTGTAGTTCGATTTTAGGTTAGGCATAAGTAACAATGCTTTTGTTAGCACTTTATGAAGACAAGCAATATAATGGTTAAAACAACGAATTTCGGCATAACAAGCTTCTTCCCAGAATTCTAATATTTAATAATTTTTTCCACATCTGCTATTATTCTGCTTGATAAAATCTTTTATAGGTGTGGCTTGTTGAATGTCGTTCAATGCCTTTTGGCTTTCCCTAGGCAAAGTATTAGTCGGAAGCGACTTCCAAATTTCTCTGAAAAAGTTGCACGAGCCTGATGACTTTCTTATGCTTTTCTTTGGTATGATTGCGCCATCATTGAGTTGAGTAAAAGTGTAGTAGGCTTCCTCGTCATCAGAAAAGTTTGGGTATTAGATTATTTCGATGAATTCGATAACTGTGCGCTGTTCTAACATATCCAACTTTACACCTTGCTGTAAATTTTCTTGAAGAAATAAATATACGATAATTTTTTTCCTGAGAGCTGTAAACTGATTTAAGAAATTTTGATAGAGGAAAATTTCCTTCCCATTTCTTGATCGTCATTTTATATGTATTTTTCGTTTTTATTGGGAACTGTATTCCATCGTACAACCTCCGAAATAAAAACACTATCAGCTGATTGTCAAGTTGTCAATTGTTTTTGGCATTTCATGCTACCATATGGAACTGTACGATGCTGTCAACTATTTATGCTTAAGTATTGTCATTCCGGCAAGGGGCTTGTTCTATCAAACAAATATTTCCCACAATAAATTATTATTTTAATGTTTAATAACCTAGAGGGCATACTAACTTTAATCACTTACCTACAATTAAGATCATTACTGAGGACAGATGTACAAAAATTTTTTCGTAGCAGGTAACAGTGCCTCCGCAAAGGGTTAAATACGCTCAGGCACAAAAACCGCGTATAGAAAATCTCTTTAAAATGATCCGCAAAAGACAAAGAAAACAAATAACTGAAATTTCCTGGTTATACGAAAGAAAGAGACATCAAAATATTGCAGCTAAACACGAATATCGATTTTGTAGAAGCACTCGACGATCTCAAATTCAAGATATTGGAGAGAGAGAGAGTGACACGATATCGAACCGAAAGTATCGGTATGGTAGTCGTTTAAAGTATCGCTGATAAAAATATCGGTATTCCAAATATCGATACAAAATTAGAAAAATTTAATCTAAATATTGGCCTAATTTTCTAATAAAAAATGAGCAATTTGCACATTAATAAGTGTTTGCTTATGTAGAGGTAAGTGTGGTAATTGACATAACCGAAGGCGCGGGTTGAAATCCCGCCATATGGTAAACCTACGTATTTACCGCAATAAGAGCATGAAATGCTGGCCGACTGGAAAAGCCCCGAAAATTTTACTAGAGGCGTCTTAGGGATGGTTTTAAGACCAGGGCGAACTCTTGTAAGACCAACAATGGTGACCTAGAGACCGATGTCCAGAAGGTACTCAAATTATGGAGGGAACACTTTTTAAGTAAATTGATAAAATAAAGTAAATATTGCAATATGGCTATCAAAAGAAAAAGGTTTAAAAAGGATTACAACCGAAAATATTTCTGTGGAGGTTGCCACATGTTTGAAAATTGTAATTTAAATAAACTGATAAAATAAATGAAATATTACAATGCGGGTATCAAGCAACACAAATATACATTTAAAGCGCAGTGAAGCACGCTGGGTATTTGCTAGTTGTAAAATAAAAATGTGTTTTTTTTTTTTTGGTTCTTCAGTGCATGCTTAATCGCGTTGGGACCTTGTCTCATTTTACTTTAAACAGAAGGATAATAATTTCATAAAACAAATTAAGTGCTTAAATCCCAAGGCATTAAAACAACTTACTAAACGTAGAAGCATTAGGGAAAAGAAAACTGCAAATTTCCAACCAAAGTGAAAAAATGGGAAAAAATAAGTACAATCCGCAAAGCCAATCTTTCGTTGTGTAAGAGACGAACGTCAAAAAATTATGCAAAGAGATTTGAAAATAGTCAAATAACCTATTTTTCGCAGCAAATTAAATTCACGCTTTTATAAAGTAAAAATGCAAAATGTAAAGCGAGGTAATACCAAAAACTTGTAAGTGAGAAGCGTCACCAGAGACGCGTCGTGTGACAACGAGCGATGTAACAAAAGACAGTAGACAAGCATGCGAAATTTAATTCGGATATAAGCATGAAGTGAGCGCCAGATAACAGTCCGGAGGCGTTCGTCTCCCATTCCTAAATTTTGTGAGCCATTTGCTGCGGGCGACTTTTACGTTAAAAAGCTTAAATTATTCGTCGCACGTACATATGTAGATACTAAATACGATTACATACGCAGGAAAGTGATAGGCAGGGTTGCCACTTTGGTAAATTGTTACCAAAATTGGTAGAAAAAATGTGGGTTGTTATAAAGGTTAGTTCTTTTATATTTTGGTAGATTTTTCTTAAAGTATTTTTTTTTTTGAAAACAAATATAAATTTTCGTTCCCGATTTATTTTTCGTAGCTGTCTTTAAATTATAAATTTCTTTAAAAAAGAAGAAAAAATTTATACTTTTATTTACTATAATTGTTCACAAAAAAAATCAAAAAAGCTAACGCCAGTTTTTATAAATGGCAATTATTAAATGAGAAAAAAACACAAATTACCGGCAGCAAACAAATTTTTAAAAACCTTCGGAAAATATTTGCTAGACATTGTAACTTTTACTAAACTTCCATGGGCTATACAACGCCATACACAAAAATATTCTAAAAATTCAGAGTAAAAAGTTAAAAATTTAAACAAAAATTTTATAAATTTTGTATATGTTTAGCTTGAATCCTTGATTTTTAAGGATTTGGTTAAAGCGCAAAAATATTCTTATACAAAAAAAATATACAAAAAAAAAATGTATTTTTTATTGAAATAACTAAAAAACAGAACGAAAAAAGTTATTGATAGATATTTTCCAGATTTGGTAGATATTTTTTTTAGTGGATGGTAAGTTTTTTTTTCTCGTCATTGGCAGCCCTGGTGATAGGGATGAGTACAGGGAAAGTGAATGAAAAAAATAAAAAAAACAGAAAGTGCGAAAACGTTACGGAAAAAATAAATACAAATGTAAGTGAGTATGCGAACAAAATGTAATGAAATTCGATGTGTAAGGAAATACCTCGCTGGAAGCAACATGAAAAATTCAACAGCGCGAATCGTGAGTTGCACGTGACATAGCTTGTCAGCTGTACGTGCATGTGTATGTATATATTAATCTATTATGTTGTAGTTATTTTCTTTGCGGTTGATTGCGGCACAGCTGGCAGACTACATTTCCCTCTGACTAGCAAATAAGACGCCAAGTGTGAGACAACGCCAACCAAAAAGCAAGCGTGTGGGGACGTTGAGCCGCGATATAGCTGTCTGTCTGCCTGTCTGCTTATCATTTTTTTTTTGTGGGAGTTTTGCTTTACTCTGTGCATCTGCCTTAAACGCCTGAATATATGCAACAATTTTGTGTTGTTGTCGTTTTGTTTTACAACCAATGCGCTCATAGAAAGCTATAATTTCGCTAATCTATTTTATGTGTATAAAATTTAAATGTGATTCGCATATATCTACATATTTACATACTTATATGCACATATGTACATTAGGACGTATCAGAAAAAAATGTTCGCCGTACACCCCCGAATCTAAAGTATTTTCGCAAGGCAATTTAAAAATTTTTTGATCCAACGTCGGCTCGATTTTTGTAATTTTTCGTCATGTCTTCGGAATTTACAGTGGGATCGGAAAATTTTGTTGACCTGAACGGAGTACCCGTTCTAGTACTTACCGACCAGATTTCAGTTCTTACCGCCCTAATGTCTTACGCTAATGTCAGTAGATTAAAGCTCACCAAAAAATCATTAAAATTTTGCTAAGGAAGTATTGCGAATATTCCAGTAGAACTATTAAGAAAGATTATTGCCGAATGAACATAGGTTCGGCATTTTTTTTTTTGGCAAATACACCCTTCACCCTTTTTTTGTTTGGTTGTAGGGTGGTACGGTCTAATGTACATACACAGTTCCTTTTTTCTGGGGTTCGGCTAAGTGCAGTGTGTGTTGTGTGTAGAATAATTGTATGATTTCGAACACCCTAAACGTTTGGCTGATATAGCAACACGTTAATAATTTTTAATGATTTTCTATAGAGCTTGATGATAATTTATGCACGAAAATTTTGGAAACTTGTATCCGTATTACCATAAAATAATATTAGAAAGTTAAAGCAGTCAAAAATATCGCTCTTAGCACATTTACACAAAAATTGGTATTTTAAACTAAATTTCATTTTTTTTAAATGATATTTATGTATGTGAATTGGGGCTCCAGCTTTTGAAAAAGTGTTAAATTTTTTTTTTTTTGCTTAAGCAAATGTAGGTATAAAATTAGCCAGGATTAAAGTTTTTATTTAGCCCTATATTAGCCTTACCCCTTTAAAAAAGAAAACTTTCAAATGCACACTTCCATATATTTTTATTTAATTTAATAGACTGCTAAAAATTATGTGAATATTTGTTGAATTTTATAAAAAATTACATATATGTAAATTGGGTTATTTTTGAGCGTTTTAATGCCACCCGGCTCTTTAGGCCCAATCGGTAGATTTGCGACCCTATTTGTTTGACAAAAAAATAAAATAAAATTTTGATGGATGAATAACCAGCATCATTATGCATATGTCATTCGTTACAGCACAGTATTTATTAAATTATATAC